CTGAATCACACAAACGACAGAATTGGGGCAAATTTCCCACACAGAATCCCCATGACCAACAGAAAATACTTAAAATCCAACTCCCTTCATCAGGGCAAGAAAACGTAATCAAAGTCCTCCTGACAAAGAGCCACCCAGCCATAGATAGATAGATAGATAGATAGATAGATAGATAGATAGATAGAGATATGGTTCACACACAGAGAGATATAGTATTATAGATTTGAAAGGGAACCTCGAAGAAGGGCAATAATATGTTGCATGTTTCAGAATAGGCAAACCAGACATTCTCCACATCAACACTGACAAAGAAACAGCAAGAAATACTGTTTACCCACAAGCAGAAAGAAATTACATATATTAGAAACCAACACTTTCTCGTTACCTTATTTTCCAGATCAACAGACTGGGCCACAGCAACGCGTGGCAGGGGATGGCTAGTATTTTAATAAATATGCACAAGCAATGAAGGTATAATCAGATAGTAATCAGACAATGAGTTTAGCTTACAACTTGCAATCCTAAGCCCCTTTACTTGGCAGGAATACTCACTAAACTCAAACTTACTTCAAGGAGATATACAGGTATAGTACAAGGAGATGTACTATAAGTTACTGCCCCCTCAATCACTACTGGAAATTAAAGAGCTCCAGGAACCTGTGCAGTGGATATACTCAGTAATTCATAAAATTTCAGATGGTGATTCACTAATCACTAATAGCTTCTGATGGCACAGGAGCTAGCTCTCTCCCTCTCCCCCCTCCCTCCCTCTCTCTCTTTGGCAAAGTCAATGCTGCTTTATTGATGAAAAACCTTTCTACAAAACCTGGCACAAAACTCTGACTTTCCTCGTCTACTTCCCATGTGGCATATTTAAATAGGAGAGCAATGTCCAGTCTCGAGGAGAGCAATGTCCAGTCTCGATAAAATAGTGAAGAGTAGAGACATCAGACTGACAACAAAGATCCGCCTAGTCAAAGCCATGGTATTCCTGTAGTAACCTACTGATGTGAGAGCTGGACCTTAGGGAAGGCTGAGCGAAGGAAGATCGATGCTTTTGAACTGTGGTGTTGGAGGAAAGTGCTGAGAGTGCCTTGGACTGCGAGAAGATCCAACCAGTCCATCCTCCAAGAAATAAAGCCCGACTGCTCATTGGAGGGAAAGATACTAGAGACAAAGTTGAAGTACTTTGGCCACATCATGAGGAGACAGGAAAGCCTAGAGAAGACAATTATGCTGGGGAAAGTGGAAGGCAAAAGGAAGAGGGGCCGACCAAGGGCAAGATGGATGGATGGCATCCTTGAAGTGACTGGACTGACCTTGAAGGAGCTGGGGGTGGTGACGGCCGACAGGGAGCTCTGGCGTGGGCTGGTCCATGAGGTCACGAAGAGTCGGAGACGACTGAACGAATGAACAACAACAACAATATTTAAATAAAATGTATCAAGTAAACCTAAAAGTAAGAAAGTAAGTCCCAATGTTGCTACTTGGGACTCAAGCTGGATAATGGTGAGGTGGAACTCACCATTATCCAGGGGGGAACTAGCTCCCAAATCTTTTTGAATGATATAGCATGATTCTTAACTATCATACGTTAACTTCAAGTAAATTTGTAATATATGATAAATAAAAAGAGCCACTGTTGATCAGACCAAATGCCTAATTAGTCCTTAGTGGCCAAACAGAATGAATAAGAGACCCGCAAGCAAATCATGAATGCATTACAATCAACCTTTCGTATTTGTGAGTTTGATTTTTGCAGGTTTGATTAGTCATGGATTTGATTAAAATTTAATTTCTAGGAATATCTAGGTCCTACAGTAAGACTCTAGATCATTGTTTCTCAACCTTCCTAATGTCACGACTCCTTAATACACTTCCTCATGTTGTGGCAACCCCCAACTCAGGGCCGTAACCAGGATTTTGATTTGGGGGGAGGGGCCGAGTTTGATTCGGGGGGAGGGGGCTGAGTCTGAGTGAAAGAGGGTCTACCCTAGCAAACCTTTTGTATCGTTACCCCAATACCCCCATGCATATGGGATATATTGAGCATGGTGATCAGATCATGATATGAATAAACATAACAGTTTAAATAATGTACCAGTAAGGCCTTTTCGCAGACCACCATGAGAATTTCAGGGGGGGCTGAAGCCCCCAAAGCCCCCACCCCCAGCTACATGCCTGCCCCAACCATAACATTACTTTCATTGCTGCTTCATAACTGTAATTTTGCTACTGTTATGAACTGTAATGTAAATATCCAATATGCAGAATGTATTTTAATTCACTGGACCAAATTTGGCATAAATACCCAAAATACCCAAATTTGAATACTACTGGGATTGGGCAAGGGATTGATTATGTCATTTGGGAGTTGTAGTTGCTTTCATTTATAGTTCACCTACAATCAAGGAGCATTCTGAACTCCACCAACGATACAATTGAACCAAACTTGTCACACAGAACTCCCATGATCAACAGAAAATACTGGAAGGGTTTGATGGGCATTGACCTTGAGTTTTTGAGTTATAGTTCACTTACATCCAGAGAGCACTGGGGACTCAAACAATGATGGAACTGGACAAAACTTGGCAAGAATACTCAGTATGCCCAAATGTGAACACTGGTGGCATTTGGGGAAAATAGACATTGAGAGTTGGGAGTTGTAGTTGCTGGGATCTATAGTTCATCTACAACCAAAGAGCATTCTAAACCCCACCAACGATAGAATTTGCCCGAACTTCCCATGCAGAACCCCCATGACCAACAGAAAATACAGTGTTTTCTGATGGTCTTTGGCGACCCCTCTGACACCCCCTTGTGACCCCCCCCCCAGGGGTACCAACCCCCAGGTTGAGAACCACTGCTCTAGATCAAACTCTGCCAGGCATTGATCATGGAGTTATGCTCAAGGGCCCCGAGAGGAGACTTCTCTTGGAATCTCTAGTGGCATCAAATCCACATTGAACCAGATTATATGGCAGTGGGATCTCAGATATTCCAGTTCAAAGCAGATATTGTGGATTATCTGCCTTGATATTCTGGGTTATATGGCTGTGTGGAAGGGCCCTAGATCACCTAGTGTGGTTCAGTGGTTGGATTACAGCAGTAGTTGACCATAAAGTCTCACTAAGGAATCTTGAAATTTCTAAAGAGGTGTTCTCACCAGTAAACAAAAAAATAGCAGTTCTTTTATTTCAGTGTGTTTTTCAATTTTTACAAAGGTCTTCTGCCCCTAATCCCGGTGAATGTAGAGGGCTGGCTATATTGCCTTAAAATTGGGAGGGATAGCCAATACTCCAGAGGACAGGAGCCGAATTCAAAACACTCTTGACAGATTGGAGAGATGGGCCAAAACTAACAAAATGATGTTCAACAGGGACAAATGCAAGATACTCCACTTAGGCAGAAAAAACGAAATGCAAAGATACAGAATGGGGGACAATGCCTGGCTCGAGAGCAGGACGTGTGAAAAAGATCTTGGAGTCCTCCTGGACAACAAGTTAAACATGAGCCAACAATGTGATGTGGCAGCAAAAAAAGCCAATGGGATTTTGGCCTGCATCAATAGGAGCATAGTGTCTAGATCTAGGAAAGTAATGCTACCCCTCTATTCCACTTTGGTTAGACCACACCTGGAATATTGTGTCCAATTCTGGGCACCACAATTCAAGAGAGATATTGACAAGCTGGAATGTGTCCAGAGGAGGGCGACTAAAATGATCAAGGGTCTGGAGAACAAGCCCTATGAGGAGCGGCTTAGGGAGCTGGACATGTTTAGCCTGAGGAAGAGAAGGCTGAGAGAAGATATGATAGCCATGTATAAATATGTGAGGGGAAGCCACAGGGAGGAGGGAGTAAGCTTGTTTTCTGCTTCCCTGGAGACTAGGATGCAAAACAATGGCTTCAAACTACAAGAGAGGAGATTCCATTTGAACATGAGGAAGAACTTCCTAATTGTGAGAGCCGTTCAGCAGTGGAACTCTCTGCCCCAGAGTGTGGAGGAGGCTCCTTCTTTGGAAGCTTTTAAACAGAGGCTGGATGGCCATCTGTCAGGGGTGATTTGAATGCAATATTCCTGCTTCTTGGCAGGGGGGTGGACTGGATGGCCCATGCAGTCTCTTCCAACTCTTTGATTCTATGATTCTAAGACAATTGCTGGAACATGGCAAGACAGCCCGGAAAACTCACAGCAACCCAGTGATTCCGGCCATGAAAGCCTTTGACAATACAATTTCTGACCAGTTTTTCATACTCTGCAACCCTCCTTGAATGTGTGATAAGGTCATATAGATGACTGCATCTGATGGTTCTTTTCCACATGGATACATACATACTCACACATTCCCTGAATTACCTACTAATTTCTTGAATTGCACAAATGGGATTATTGAGGGAAAGCCATGCTTTTCAAAGATCATAATTAACAGAAACAACAAAGCTAAAAAAAAATCCCATGAAGCTGAAGATAAAAATCAAATTGACATGTCAAATGTTCAATAAAATGATAAAGCTAGATAGTAGTTTAAGACAGTGATTAAGTGATCCATTTCTTCATGAATGAATGAACTCCTAATTAGACAAAGGAAACAAAACTGTCATTGCAGAGTAAAAAAGATACAAAGGGAAGCAAGCATTATGTGCCACTTCACTGTCAAAGAAAACATGATCATCCCTTCTCATTTCATAAGTTGATATCAAAAGTCAACAAGTTAGTGCAGTCAGTTAATTACTAAATTGCGGACATTCAAGTGCTTCTCAAAACGCATACCAGTGGATACAGGAATCAAGCTGATGCCGCTAGAACAGACCAAAGCAACACCATTTCACAAATTAGTCCAATCAAGATTTTAGAAGAAGCCTTAAAACAGTCGCTAACTCAAACAGGGAACGCAGAAGATTGCTCTATTATCTTTAAACCATAATTAGGTTCTCAAAATGTAAGCTGTGCTGCAAAGTGCAATTAGTCATATTTTAAGCAAGAATTAATGCCCACTTACATCCTGCTGCTTGGGATAATCTTGTGCCCATCTCGAAACCAAGTCACTTGTGGTCTTGGGTAGCTTGTGATGTGAGGGAAGTTGAGAACTGTGGCATGCCCTTCAGACACGGTCTTCCTCTTGTCCGCGTCCTGGAAATTTCCCATGTCTGCAAAGAAAAGTTATACTAAGAATCTAAGAAGTTTCTTTTTCTATGCCGCGTTGATATTGTTTTAGGGGTCAGTGGGTAGAATAATTATGTTTTATAGCAATCATTGACATAGCTGTAATTAAGTTATGAGACATAACAGACCTTGTAGTAATGCTGATGAGTGCAGGTTTCTGGGTGTGTAGTGAGGCATGAGGATGCATGTTTGCATTTCCTTGGCTGGACCATTGACTTTTCCCCAATTGAAAATTGACACAGTTAGTAACAGATGCAGGGTCTTGAAATTTTACTTTATAATAACTAAAAGCAATCCCAATAGTTACACAGACATGACAACTTTGTACTCTTATGAAACTGCTTGTCCGTTTAGGAGTTAAAGCAAAAAAATATGTATTTTCGAATATATTTTAATTATCTTCTATGTTTCCACTATTGAAGTCTTCAGTGCATTTTAAATAAACAAAATAAAAGTCCAAATTTAATTCAACAAGAAACAACATGAAAGCTAAAAAGCCACAGATAAAAGTAGCAAAATAAAATCGACACAGATCAGGAATGTTAAATAATAGGGTGGCCGTAATAGTATTAATAAGATGGACAATGTCTAGGCCAAGTAAACCTTGTAGATGCCAAAGTACAGGTTTTTTCCCCCAACAGATCCACTGAAAGCTTGGGAATCCTGAAAGAAAACTCAGAGAAAAGACTCCTGTCTTAAACACCAAATAGGTTCATAGAAGAGGTATCCTTCAGATGTCCTGACTCAGATCTTTCTGTTTCTCAGTCTGATGTTCTTTAGGTTGACAATATTGTTTGAAGATCACAATATTTGTTATTTAAGTCACCAGGTTGGGGATGGCTTGCATAAGCAGTAATACTTCAAAATTGTGTTCAAAAAGACACTGGCAATTAATGTACAACATTTCAATATTTGTGTGCTGTGAAACCTACTAAATGGTTCTAACAATTATTGTTGTCGTTTTGTTATTGTTGTTGTTCTTGTTGTTGTTGTTCTTACCCACATCTCCTTGTGGCTCAAGGCAGGTCACAGCAAATTCAAAACACACAAACACTGCAAAACTTCTATAAGCACACATATTAAAATTTAGTTCTATAAAAGATATATTAAAATGTATTTCTGTAAAATACATATTAAATACACAGGACAAAGATTAAAACACAGGACATGAATTTAAAATTAATGCTTAAAACTGCCTATGTAAGCCTGTTGAGAGAGAGAGGTCTTTAGATGTGTTGTAAAGGCAATCTTTTAGGTAACCTGCATCCAACCATTTAAAGGTCAAAACCAACACTTTGTACTTTGCCCTGAAACTAATTTGCAGCCAGTGGAGTGACTCGAGTAAAGGTAAAGGTTTTCCCCTGACATTAAGTCTAGTTGTGTCTGAATCTGGGGGCTGGTGCTCATCTCCATTTCTAAGCCAAAGAGCCGGTGTTGTCCATAGACACATCCAAGGTCATGTGGCTGGCATGACTTCATGGAGCGCCTTTACCTTCCCACCTATTGATCTACTCACATTTGCATGTTTTTGAACTGCTAGGTTGGCAGAAGCTGAGCCTAGCAGCAGGAGCTCACCCCACTCCCCTGGATTCGAACCACCGGCCTTTCCATCAGCAAGTTCAGCAGCTCAGCATTTTAACCCACAGCACCACTGGAGTGGGTTAAAATGAACCAGCTGGAGTTTCCGACTTGATACAAAGGTAGCCTAATGTAAAGTGCATTGCATTGTTTTGAACCATCCAAAAGTCCAATTTGGAGAGACAGATCCAGGAGCCTTTGTTTCTAGCTGTGAACATCATCTTTCAGGAGAGTGGGTCCCCATCCAGAACTTGCTGACATACCTCAGTCCTCAGATTAGGACCCTTGATGGCAAGCACCTCTGTTTTGTCTGGATTCAATTTCAATTTGTTTTTTCCTTGTTTTCCCAGTTTACTTGTCCGAATGGACCCTGCTCATTGTCCCCCCCACCTTTTGTCACAGTTGCATCTGGTGGGGACAAGGGACAGGGTCTTTTCTGTGGTGGCCCCCCCGGCTGTGGAACTCCCTCCTGAGTGAAATTAGATCTGCTGCATCCCTCTTGACCTTCTGGAAACAAGTAAAATCCTGGCTATGGGATCAGGCCTTTGGAGAATATGCTGACCTACTGACGTGTTGACTTATTTAGAACTGATAAACTGCCCTTGGATAATAATTTAAATCGGTGACCACTGACTGTTGTCTGTTTTTATATTGTTTTTATATTGTTTATATGGTTATATACTGTTTATACTGTTTTCTGTTGTTGTTATTACATTGCTGTTAACTGTATATTTATGTTTTGATGTGGGAGCCATGGGGTGCCACTTTGTTAGCCATCCTGAGTCCCTCTACGGAGGTTGAGAAAGGACGGGATATAAAAGCCCCAAATAAATAAATAAATAAATAAATAAATAAATAAATAAATAAATAAATAAATTCCTCATCCAGCCCATTAACTCCTCCAGGCATTCATTCAGAGGAGATACACTATCCTGAACTGAGTCTATTTTTGAAGGCATGGAGAAATATTTGGGGGTTTTATCAGCATGCTGATAACACTCCACCCTATGCCTACAGATGATCTCTCCCAGCGGTTTCATGTAAATGTTAGAAAGCATTAGAATAGAATGACACCTTCTGGATGTCATATAGCAACTCCTTTTTTAGGACCAGCTGTCCCCACCACCATCTGGAACCTGCCTGAATAGGATGACTGGAACCACTCCAGCACAATGACTCTGATTCCCCACCCTTCCAGGTGTTCCAGAAGGATGCCATGGTCAATGGTGTTGAAGCCACTGAGAAGTCTAGACGCACCAACAGGGCCAGACACACCTTGTTGATGTTGAGACGGAGATCATCCATTAAGGCAGTGTTTCTCAACTTGGGGGTCGGGACCCATGAAGGGGTCGCAAAGGGGTGTCAGAGGAGTCGCCAAAGACCATCAGAAAACACAGTATTTTCTGTTGGTCATGGGGGTTCTGTGTGGGAAGTTTGGCCTAATTCTATCATTGGTGGGATTGAGAATGCTCCTTGATTGTAGGTGAAATCCCAGTAACTACAACTCCCAAATGTCAAAGTCTATTTTCCCCAGACCCCAACGGTGTTCACATTTGGGCATATTGAGTATCCGTGCCAAGTTTGGTCCAGATCCATCATTGTTTGAGCCCACAGTGCTCTCTGGATATAGGCGAACTACAACTCCCAAACTCAAGGTCAATGCCCACCAAACCCTTCCAGTATTTTTTGTTGATCATGGGAGTTCTCTGTGCCAATTCCATTGTTTGGAATGGGTGCAATTCCATTGTTGGTGAGGTTCAGAGGCTCTTTGTTTACATGTTAACTATAAATCCCAGCAACTACAACTCCCAAATGACAAAATCAATCTCCCCGCCAACCCCACCAGTATTCAAATTTGGGCATACCGGATATTTGTGCCAAATTTGCTCCAGTGAATGAAAATACATCCTGCAGATCATTATTTACATGGCGATTCATAATGTTAGGGTTATGGTTGGGGGTCATCACAACATGTGGAACTGTATTAAGGGGTCGCGGCATTAGGAAGGTTGTGAACCACTGCGCTAAGGTGACCACAGCAGTCTCATCTCCACATGCTGCTCTGAAGCCGGTTTGAAATGGGTCAAGAAAGTGTGTGTTATTCAAGACGGGCTGAAGTTGGAGAGCAACTGCCTTACCAAAAAAGGAGGTGAGACACTGCTCTGAAATTATTAAGGTCCAGGAGATACTGTAAGAATCTCAGAGCATTGTTTTGAAACATCCAAAGGTTCTAATATTTTCCAGTGTATTAAGAAAGGGGATTAGGACCAAAATACAAAACAGTGGCTAAATTAAATATGTTCAGCTATATATCAACCAAATAGCATAAGTTTCTGTCTTTTGCAGCTTAATTAAGGTTGATGAGAGTTGCCTTTCAATAACTTCTGACAATCAAGTATTCCCATCCCTGCTCTAAGCTTTTCTGAGCCTTGATATGCAGTCAGGAAAGCAGGTCAATGTCCCTTTGGACATGCCAGGTCAACATATACCATCTAGCCATTGTTACCTATTGTTTAGGCATTTCTCCTTGTTAAAATTGCTGCAATACACTATGTAGAGAGCTGAAGGGAAATTCTTAACAGAAATATACATCAGGGTTCAATTATATAAAGAGAAAATACAGACAAAAACTAGCTATCCATACAAATTGACTGGAAAATCAAGTCATTATTTTTTGGGGAGGATTAAATCATTAGCATGATTTTTCAGGGATATAAAATAATTACCACTGCACTGGGCGGTTCAGAAAAGTCCACATTTTTTGTTTACAACTATAATCAGATTACCTACTTAAAAAGACGTATTGAGCCATGTAGACCATTCTAATTAACCTTCTTGTTACATTATTAGTATAGCTTTTACAGTTTAGACTTTCTCTAATTAAGACCTGCCTAGCAATTTCTATGCGCCTTTCCTCCCATCAATTTAAAATGAATAGTTTTGTGAGCATAATGTTTTTCTTTTACCAAAAAAGTTATCTTAAAAAGTAAAGTCTAATATTAAGCATGTATACATTTCTACATATTGGATTGGTTTAAATAAGAAGAATTGATAAATAATTCGGTGAGAGTTGGAGGTAATTACTACCACAGAGCTGCTCACATCCATGTTTGGAGGCTTAATTTGTCTCTACATCAGATTAATAATAAGACCTTTATTGGGTTGTTGTAGGTTTTTCGGGCTATATGGCCATGGTCTAGAGGCATTCTCTCTTGACGTTTCGCCTGCATCTATGGCAAGCATCTTCAGAGGTAATGAGGTCTGTTGGAACTAGGAAAAAGGGTTTATATAGCTGTGGAATGACCAGGGTGAGACAAAGGACTCTTGTCTGCTGGAGCTAGGTGTGAATGTTTCAACTGACCACCTTGATTAGCATGTAATGGCCTGACAGTGCCTTTATTATTAT